TTTTTTTTTAAACCTAGGTATCAAGCAAGCAAATAACAATGATAACAAGATGTAATTAAAGCATTGTATATTTAATATGAGTAAACCCCACGGAGAGGGATCTAAGGGGTGAACACACCTGAAACCATTTATCTACAGTGGAAAGTCAACAAAACAACTACAGCGAGATCACTCTCTGTGATATACAGAAGACCACATCCTGCAATGCAACAATTAACCACAATGCTTATTTATGTAAATTTACCTCAATATATATAATCAAACTGCTCAAATTGTGTATCTTCCCACCCGCAAATGCATAAATGAAATTATCAAACAGTATAAAGTCACCACAGCAATTTTCCAAAACAGCAAAAAACAAAAACAAACCAAACAAAATCAGCCAGCACACACGATGGCCACCACAACAACAATATTTACAACTTCAGTAGCATAAGATGTTACTATTGTCCTTCATGATGTTTGCTCAAGTTATTTAGGACATGCATACACAACTGTGCTTATTTGTTTTGCGGAATTTGTTTATTCTTCTTTTATGGCACATTAATCGTCTCATGACCCCTCAGATTCATCAGTATTTACTATTTAGTTACTGATTTATTATTGCAATATATAATGCTATATTGGTCACAAGGGCGTTTAGCTCCTAGGTTTAGTTGATAACACGTCTGCACTTTTACTCAAGTAGGTTAGACAGGACTTTTACTTGCAGTGGAGTACTTTTACATTAATGCATTGATACTTTCACTTTAAAGATCTTAATACTTCTTCCACCTCTGCTGTTGTGGATGAGGGATCTCTCCTCTGTTGCTTTTTCTCCTTCTTCACCTTTTTGTGTACTTTTCCTTATCCAGTGTTGTATATTGTACAGATTGTAAAGCAATTTGAGATCTCGGACTATTGAAATAAAATTAAAATGACATGAAATGAAAAGCATTGACATAAGTCAGACCTTCAGCAAGTGTTTTACAAGGTTTGAATTTTCCTACAAAATGTTATTCGAACATGTGCTTTCATATATTTATTTTATCCTCCACTTGATCAACGGTGAATTGTTGCTAAAAATATAAAATGCACTTTGAAACGTCCTCAAGTGGTCTGCTGAACTCATCTGACCAAACCATCTGCCAGACGGTTCTCAAACAATGGAGTGGGAGAGTGGACTGGGGAGGTGTAATGCACACACACACACACACATACATAAAAACAAACACAAATACATATCAAATAAACATAACACACACTCACACGTATGTATATCAAACAAAGCCACACTTGAAATTATGGCCCACCTCGGTTAGAAGTAGAGTCCCCCTGATAAGAAATAATTTTCCCTGTATCATTGAGTGCTCTAATCAGTGTTTTGTTCCTGGACTGCGTGCCTTTTGGGCCAATAATATGTGCTATTTTCAAGGTATAATATAATTCTCCAGCCAGGTTTCAATCAGATAGCCATGGAGTAAACATTTTACGTTCAGTTTTTGATAAAGCATTAGTGTTTGTGTGTTTTTTTCCCCTCTGACATACATTGAATCAGACGACATAGATAAGCAGTTTGTGACCAGCTCAGGTAAAAGCTCTACCCCACTCAAGACATCAGGGTTGTCTTTTTTTTCTCCATAGTAACAGTCCCCTGGCAACCAGTAAGAGTGCCAGTTATATTCATAGTACTCTATACCCCTCTGACTCCCTCACACATACCCTTCCTCACCTTCTCCATCACTCACATCCTCTCTCTCCTACCCTGCAGCTCTCCCTTTGCGTTTGTGTGTTTGTGTCTGAGCGTGTGTGCATGTGAGTCAGCTGCATCCTTAGCACCTGGGACATTACTTTCAGTCTCCACAGGGGAAGCTGCACCACCAGCACTGTGAGTTTAACAGATCTGCTGTTGCTTTTTGTGAATTAATTTGACTGTGATTTTTATTTAACTGTGATGTATGTATTATTATGTTTTCTGTTTTATTGAAAGTTAATATTTTACTATTTGATTGAAAATGTGTATTATGGAAATAATACATGTAAATAGTTTGTTTATTTATCATGTTTTATACATGAGTTTAAATTTCCATGATCATGTTTTAGCATTTTTATTACCCTATGTCTTTTTTATATGTTTTTTGTTACTTTTTGACAGGATATTAGCAACAGCAAAAGCTTGCATAAAAAATAACATTTGCTGACAGTTAAACTGAGCATGCTCACCTGATGCTGATATTTATTCTCTCCTTATGTCGTGGTTTATTGTTTTTGTCAGGCATTATCGCGTGAATGTACTAAAAAGAAATTTGTGTTCTCCCCTTATTTGTTTCTTTATTGGCTCCTCAAGAAAAGACCCTCGTTGTCAGCTCTCAAGGTTTATAGTTCAGGGCTCCAAGCCAGACTCTCTGCGGGTGTGTAAGAGAGGAGAGGGAGGTCAACATGGGCTCCAGCTCCTCTTCCTATGCCCCTAAAACCATTTACCTGGATGTGGATGGGAAAGTGCAAAAGGTGGGTCCAAATCCAGAGGAAATGCTGTATTTCTTGGATCTATTTTATTGTTGAAATTGTAAAATTCTGTTCAGTCTCCCCCTTATTTAGAAAAACAACATGACTAAATGCATTTTGGGAATGTATTTTCTTCTGTGTGAGATGCTAGTTTGACTAAAAACAGCTTTTTTACATGGTTTTGTTAATTTTTTTTGTGTCATATGACACACAGAGTTAATAGTTCAACAACTCAAAAAATATTAACTGTAGATCATAAAGACTGTTAATATCTACACTATAAACACTGAAAATTGTGGATTATGTATCTAATTTTATACATAATCTATTCAAATTATTTTGGCAATCCTATCCAAAATATGTTTAAAATCATCACATTTGGGACTCATCCAGCAAATGTAAACATGTATTTATTTACTTACTTATTTATTTATTCAATTTAAAGACATTAATATAATAATGGGTTTAAATATAAAACCATCCTTAATAAACTTAACTATGCCTAATTAAATAATTCCATTTTTAATTCATCATCTTTTTGAATCATATAGCAGGTATTCCCAGCAGACTAACCCCACCTGAGGTGGAGCTTAAATTAGATGGTGATGCAGTTTGTCTTACAGGTGTTACTGACACCTGTTGTTAACAGCTTTCACACCAGCATTCATTTCTGCCACTATATACCTCAGGGTATATAAATAAAAATATGGATTTAGATCTACTTTTTTCCTTAGGCTTACATTTCCAGAAGCAGCACTTGAGCTACTAGTCAATGGTGATACAGAAAAGACAAAATATTAAAGTATTACACTGACTTATTTCAGCTTTTTAATCATAACGTCTGCAGAGCAACAGCTTAGCAATCATTCTAACAGTCGTGACAAATGGTTTAAGGCTCGAGTTTCATGTTTCAGCGTTCCAAACATACTGAGATAGAGATAAATGCAGCACTTGCTGATCTGGTGATGTAGAGTGCTTCAAGTAGAGAGCTGGCGATGACACATGTCTGTTCAAGAGCCCCGAGCCCACTGCCTGAGGCTGAATGTTTGTCTGCTACACCTGCTCCCTTCAAGATGTAAGATCACAGTTTTTGCATTGGGTGTCTGCACCCACGCAGTAGTAGTCTCTACTGTACTAAGTCTTGTGAACTGGGCTGATTCCATGACAGGCGTGGATAATGTTGCTTTCTTCAAGAACTCCATAAACCCTCACACTCCAGCTGTCCTTTTCTTTCCCTCATGGGTCTCTCTCTGCCGACTTGACCTTATTCAGCCATAAAATGAACCGACCCTTACTTTACATTCCCATGTGACTCGGTTGTCTAAAAAACACATGAAATTTGATAACCTCCCAACCCTGTCAGAACACTGAGGCCTTATATCAAAACCACAGCAGCTGTTTGTGTGCAGGTGTGCCTTTGAAGACCATATAGTCACAGATGTGTGTTGGATCTTACTAGGAAGATCATTATCCATCGTATGTGTGGTATAAATTAATACAAAAGGAGAACCAAGCTTATAAAGAAACCAATAAGAGAACTGTGTTTTCCTCTCAGGTGGTGTTCAGTCGGCACTGCAGTCCATGTGACATCAAGGAGCTTCTTTGTTCCTCGTCTAACATTCCCAGGTTTGTTGTTCAATTTACTTGCTTGTTTATTTGCCTGTTTGTTTATTTATTCTCACAGATATTACATTATTCCATATCTGTATCACTGGGCATAACTGAAAAGTCCCCTTAAAAAGCAGAAACTATCACACAAAGCTGCACAAAAATATCATACAACACAGCAAGATCATCATGCAATAAAGCAACCAGTAACTTACTATGAACATTTGCATGTAATAATCAGACAGACATTAGACACGCACATGAAAACAGACAATGATAAATGAGAAAATTAAGATGTAGTTGACAATCTGCCTTTCATTGAGAAAAATAAACTGTTATGCACTGTTCTTTTAGTTGACCCTTTTTTCTATTTCTCTTTCACTGAGAGATAATACATGCCAGGTACAGTGCACATATGAAGTTTGTGTATAGCAAAATAAAATCAAGCAAAATACTGCAGTACTGCAAAGATTATGTAACTAATACACTCTGATACAATATTTAACACTGAGAAAAAAGACGATTTAAAATTTTAAAAGACATTATAGGTCGAGGGGAAAAACGAAAAAAAAAGGTGTGGAATAAAACTTCTCCTCTTGTCCTCTCACTGCAGGAACACTGCCATAATGATGGTGGACCCAGAAGGTGCCTTGGTCTCCATAGATCCCACCATGCCCACCAACTCTCCAAAGTAACATATACTGGCATTATGATATCACATCTGTGTAGCAATCACATTGTTTTTTTTATAAATGTCCATCATATGTTTAAGTACCCTGGAAACTGAAGCTAGCTGAAAATCTCCCCACAAGATCCATTTAATATCTGTTTGACCATATCTACAGCTATTAAATAAACCCTGTGGTGAGATTCTGTCAATTGATAATCTGAAACAGTAATATAAAGAAAATGTTGATGTCAAGAATTAGGAATAATAACTGTTCCTATAATTTCCTCACAGCTCTTTGTACAAAGTTGTCCCTTTGTCTACCGGTCAGCTTGGAGGTAAACGGTCAACAACAGCATTATTCTCTTTTACTCTAACTAGCTCACTAACATACATCCATTTGTCAACAATACATCAACTGTGAAAGTAATAATGAGCATTAAAATACCAAACATGACAATGCTGCTGTTCACAGTGATTTATTGGGAGTGTATTTATGTCTGCAGAGAAGGAGGACATGTTTCAGAATGTGTTGTCCCAGGTGGCTGAGCAGTTCAGCAGGTAACACTTCGTTTATGTTATGTTATGGCTGAAGCCTCTTCTTCCCCACCCTCACACATACCTTACACACATACCTGACACCAGTGACTCTCAATGATAACGCATGCTGAAACTCACAGAGGCAAGTTAAATCAGACAAGTTCTTTCACCTTTGTCATTTTGTGGCCCCATTCTAGTTTTATTTTGTCATTATGGCCAACCAACCATGTGAAATACATTTCATTCTCTTATCACTTTCTGTTCTTATCATTTGCCTTCTGCTCACAGAGCCTTTCGGATCAACGAGTTGAAGACCGAGGTTACCAACAGGCTAGCAATGCTGGAGAAGAGAGTTGAACGTAAGTGGTACATTTAATATTATATCATTTAGACAAAAGCATCCCCCAAAATGTGAAATACAGCAAGTGGAAACACGTTCCTAAAGTGAAACCAAACTGAGATATGTCCTGTCATCTTGTTTCAGTGGAGGGCTTGAAGGTGGTGGAGATTGAGAAGTGTAAAAATGATCTGAAGAAGCTACGAGATGAGATGACTTCAAGAGGTGGTGGCAGGTGAAGTATATAATAAAGTTAGACATTAGACATCTTATTAGAGGCGTTAACAGAAACCAAACTGAGTACAATTTGTGTCAAATAAACCTTTCTTGGACTTTTCAAATTCAGAGTAAACTGTCCATGTAAATACAACTTCTCGGATGATGGGAAAAAGGTCACTCCTAGACGAGATGTCCCCAATTATCCAAAGGTATGTCCACTGGGACTAATGGATTTATTACTGTTACACAAAGCTATCTTCATGAATCTCTGCAGCGTCTTTTGAAGTTCTGATGGCCTTATTTATTTGGCATTTACAGTACACACTGTCTCAGGAGACTGTTGAGGCACTCAAGAAGCCAACATTTGATGTCTGGCACTGGGAACATAATGAGGTTTGTTGATATTGCCTCTCCATTACTCAATCAGACATTTCCATTCAATGTTATCCAGGTGACTGGTGACTGAATTCCCTGTCTCTTCTTTTTTGGCTGCAGATGCTGAGTTGTTTGGAGTATATGTACCATGACTTAGGACTGGTGAAGGAATTCAACATGAACCCCATCACACTCAAACGCTGGCTGGTAAAGTTAGAGCAGTAAAGGACATCTGGGCACATTGATATACTGTGTTCTGCAGTGCACATGGTGCCGATCTCAAACAAGCTTTTAACTAAAAAGCAGAGGTGTTGCTAAGAGTAGCATCAATGCTCTGACACAGATGTGAAATAATTATCAAAGGGTAGGAGGCTGAAGATTCTGCGGTCACTGAATGAATTATTCTCTGTCTTCTAGCTGGCGATTCAGGAGAACTACCGTAACAACCCTTTCCACAACTTTCGCCACTGTTTCTGCGTTAGTCAGATGATGTATGGCATGATTCACCTCTGCAACCTACAGGTATGGCGCATGTTTATCGGTATGTGTGTGTTCACGCATGTCAAGGATATTATATGATCAATAATTTATTTCACAAATAGAAGCAAAATTACCAGCCAATGAATAATCAGCCTGGACATTTAGCAGTTTGTAACAACACCTTTCATTTACACGGTTGTCCAGGAGAAGCTGACTCTCACAGATATGGGAATTCTAATGACAGCTGCAGTGTGTCATGACCTGGACCACCCTGGCTACAACAACACGTAAGACTCACTATTCTGTCTGTAGGGGTGTTGACAGATAGAGCAATGCAGATGCCCATTGACCCCAGTATGTTTTGACATCTTCTGCACAACACTGTTGTCAATGAACTGTGAAACTAGTTCAGCATGGAGAGAGTTCAGGTATGAAAACACACTGATCCAGATTATCATTGTTGTTTCTGGTCGAAGCTTTGGGCAGGCAGGGACCTCTCTTATCGGAAAGCTTCATGGGAATATACTTTCAATCAATCCATTCACCCACATCATCTATCTACCAGGTACCAAATCAATGCCCGCACGGAGCTGGCAGTGCGCTACAACGACATATCTCCGCTGGAGAACCATCACTGTGCTGTGGCCTTCCAAATTCTTTCTCTTCCTGAGTGCAATATCTTTGCAAACGTGGATCCTGAGGCATTCAAACAGATCCGACAGGTGAAGTGTGCATGTAAAACTCACCAGTCTATATGTGACAAAAAGCATGTTTTATCTTAATCCTACACAGTCCGGTCTCATATTTACAAATTAATCTGAAAACTTTTTTTTATTTTATGACCTAAATGTTAGCAAATGTCTCAAGCTGACTTTGGTTTTGCTCTTATATTTCCAGGCAATTATCACCCTCATTCTGGCCACTGACATGGCCAGACACGGGGAGATACTAGACTCCTTTAAGCAAAAAGTGGACAACTTTGACTTCACCAATGAAGAGCATGTGACCTGTGTATGTATACATTAAGACTTACAAGATCACGTTGCATCTCCACCTGACATCAGCTGCTTACTGCACAAGATGTGGCCTCAACACAGGCAGGCCTTTATCCGTACAGTGTGGAATGGATTGTATTAGCCTAATTGACAAAGCAGTCACATAAATACAGTAGATGCTCCAGGACAGGGTTGTGTCTTTTGATGATGAATAGGCCTCTTTATCCTGGGTTTTTGTGTGTGGGGGTGGGTGATGCATGTATGTTTGTTTATGTGAGTGTGTTTGTGTTTTCAGCTGAAGATGGTTTTGATCAAGTGCTGTGATATTTCCAACGAAGTGAGGCCAACTGAGGTAGCTGAGCCATGGGTGGACTGCCTATTGGAGGAGTACTTCATGCAGGTGACCTCAACCAAAACATTCACATAACTCCAGACATCCCTTCCTTTGAATCTATCACGTTAAGTCAGATAAAGAAAAAAGTAGTTTGTGAGCAATAGCTACTCACAATAGGTGGAGTTTGCTGTATCAAATGAACACATATTTCCACTTATGTGATTCCCAGAGTGACAGAGAGAAGTCTGAGGGTCTCCCTGTGGCTCCCTTCATGGACAGAGACAAAGTCACCAAACCCACTGCTCAGATTGGATTCATCAAGTTTGTCCTCATCCCAATGTTCGAGACTGTCATGAAGGTAGAAAGATGTGTGTACAGACATGCTGTTTTATAAATGCACACACTGATCAGCAAGTAAAGCTTTTATTGTGGTGTCCAACAGCTCTTCCCTCAGATTGAGGAGATCATGGTTCAGCCTTTGAGGGACTCTCGTGACCACTATGAGGAGCTGAAACAGATTGATGATGCCATGACAGAGGTAGAACCTATTCTATTCTATCTATCGATCTATCCGTCAAGCTTTGTTCAAACAGACATGTCAAACTAAATCTGTTGCTAGTCACCTGACACTCTGTAACATAGAGTAAGTAAATTGTAGCACTCTTACAACCAGCTTATGTTGTACAATTTAACATCAAAATGTAGGCTTGCTTGGTGAGTAGCAAAGCTAGAGTCACTGTGATATGAGCCAGATTGCTAAAACATACACATACAAACACATAGACATATTCAAGCCATTCAAATGTTCACACATGCATATACTTTGTCTGACCTCCGTTCATACCAGTTGGCTTCTGTGACTATTACGTGTAAATAAAAAAATAAAAAAATTAAAAAGATTTAGAAGAATAGTTTGACATTTTGGAGAATACGCTTATTTGCTTTCTTGCTGAGAATTAGATGATGAATATAAGGCTACAGCAAGAAGCTGATTACCTTAGCTTAGGACAAAGCCAAGAAACAGGGGGAAAGAGTTTGCCTGGTTCTGTCATTAACACATTATTAACACATTATACCAATTTTTTTTTTTAAAAAACCAATGTACAACATACTACAATTTGCCATTGAGCTATGTGCCAGACTATCCCTTGGCTCTGAGCAGTTGTAAATCAGATTAAGTCACTTTTATTTAAAAAGGCCAAAATAACAAATCACAAATTTGGAATCTGTACTGCAAACAACATCCTCCATCCTTGGACTATAGAGGCAATCAGTAGAGACTCCAGGAAGTTACTGGTCCCAGCCAAGAAATTGTCCTGTACATAACCTGGTGAATTTCAGTCACATTTTTATTCATTCTCTGCCAGAAAGTGAATAAATCATGTTTTCCAAAATTTATTTTTTTTGCTTTAAGGTTGTGCTTTTGCCAATGTAAAATTATAAACACCATAACTTAAGAAATAGGTTTATTTTTACTATTATATGTTTAGCGCCAATTTTCATAAGGTAAAAATCTTATGTTATGACCTCAGGGGAGGGACAAGGCTTAGAATAAGACTGATTTAAGTAAGCGCACACATGCAGTGAACACAGGCATCTTCTGCCTGGTCGCAAGCATGTTGTTGAGCCTCTGTGGAAATTTAATTCATTAATATTAGCTTGGAATACACTGCCAGTCTAGACTTGAAGGTACTTATGGTAATGAAAGTATAATAGCAATTATGCATATTTCCTGCTGTGAGACAGAGGCATGCAGAGAACAAATCCAAGTCAATCTACAAAGTGTCATTTAAGCTTTTCACCTGGAGCTACCAAACACTACGAATTATCAGCTGTGCAATTTGTTTCACATGGGTGGGGTCACACACACATACATACATGCACACACCCATCAAACCGCTTGCTAACATAAAGGTGTGTCTTTTGTTCAATGAGGCACAGAAGAAAAAAACTGAAAATATGTCATTAGGCGGGAAGAAGAAGTAAGCTGTGCAGTGAGTGAGTGCTGTGGTATCTGTGTAAGTAAAAGCAACTGACTCCTTGGTTGTTCTATAGTGTTTAGTGTTAGTGTCATGAGTGCACTCTGTTTCTGCCTCTCTCTGGCCTCTCCACAGCAACTCTCCTCTATTCTGAACTCTATCTACAAAAGCCAGACCTTTATGAGTGTGCAGCACTTTCATCACTTTGGATTCGCCCTCTAAGTTCATATCAATTTACTCACTAAAAGGAAAACCGATGGGGTAATCCAGTTTAGTCGGCTCAAGCTAAATTGGTTCAACGTGAGAAATTCTTGGCAAGTGTGAGGGTCTTGGTTGTATAGTAATATATAAGTTAAATGGCCTGCAGAAAAAGTAAGAAGTTCAACAGCTTACGAGAAAGACAGAAATTAAAAAAGGAGGAAACGCCACAACAATTCTCAAAGTTAAGTAAAGACAAAATCAATCAATTACGTAAGCAAGCACAATAATAAACTATTTAAAATCTAAATATTAAAATTTTTTTAAGGTCTTTAACATTCTAGCTCTCTTTGATTTCTGTAATATGACATATACATGGCTAAATTAATGTTGCTGTTGGCTGGAAACAAAGTGGTGAAATTGTCGCTCATTTGCTTCACTCTTAAACACCATGTGACTTTTTTTTTACAGTGACAAGGTACATTTTCTGCACATGAATTGAAACTATAACCTCTTTTCCGTCATTTTACGTTTAATTTTTCCACAGAAATAGAATAAAGTTGCCACTAGACTCTGAGCAAGTTTTGACTTCCCACATAGGGAAGCTAATTCTCCCTCGCAGCTCTAAGGCAACTTCAGTCCAATAGCCTTTATCTGTGGTGGACGATAACCACCCAAACTTTTGGTGGTCAGGCATGGTTTGTGCTGATCTAGGCACAGCTCTCAGTCAATGAGCTGTGTTTTAAATCTAGTTTTAGTTTCGGCTTTCTTCCTTAATATCCTACTGTTGCTCTCTGCCTAATCCAAGCTCTTATTTTATTGCAGGGGTCTTCGTTTGTGTTCAAATTAAGGAAAGACTTTAAAAAACACGACTGAGGCCTCAGTGAAGACGTTCTGTGCTGCGTTCTGAAGATGACCGATGGATCAGGAAAAGAGACTGCTTGGCTACATACTGAACTAAACTTAGGCGTCAAGGTGGCATATCTTGAACTTTGACTTAGACTTTTGCACTGGATGTAACAGAGAGGGACCTGGTGACCTCTCTGTATATTTATGGTGTTTATGTTGTTCTCCTTACCTTTTTTTGTTTAATAGTGCCTCAAGATTTTCGAGGCATTTTAAAAATATACAACAGACAGAATAGACATAACAGACCAAATGTTCAGGAACTTTTCTTCTGCAAACATTAAATGACAATTTATTTTTTCCCATTTTTTCCAGTAGAAAAATAAAATGCACCAAACTGGGATGTGTTCACCTCACTGTAGCAATAAGTTTTTGATTGATATGTTCCACAGGGTGTTTTCCAAAGAATAATGCAGCTTTGCACCATTTATTTCTTTCTCCACTCACAATGAGCAGCTCATTAAACCATCACAAGTGTAGGTGTATACTCTTTCAACACTTAAAAATAAGTGGTAAAAAAAAGTGTTGCACAATTTCTCCTGTAAAAAAGTTTTCATATCTCACAATACATGTAAAGCTGTGATTTGCATGTCTGTTCATTTGTTACACATCATTTGTCAAGACATAACAGTCTTTATATATGTAAAGGTTACACAACACACATTTCAGATTGTCTTCTGTCTTAAAAGGGCGACTGTGTTTCCACAGTAAACATAAACCTAATGTGTGTGAATGTGCGATAGTCTTTGTAACAAAACAGCCTGGCAAAATAAATGCAGGCTCTAAATTAACTCTGTTTGTGTGTGTGTGTGTGTACTAATTCTAACAATTACTAATATTTTTAACATCATAATTCATAATTAACTTGGAAAGTAAGAAAAAAATTTAATTTATCAATCATTAAGAAGTACTTTAAATGTAAATAAGGTGAACATTTAACTTTTAAAAATACACATCATGAATATTTGCGCAGACATTCCAGTTATACATGGCTGATTGAGATGCATTTTATTGCCATATTTTAGACTTGAGGGCTAGAATACAGTCTACATGTGTTGAAATATGAATAGTTTTCCAGTTGTGTACCACCCGAAGGTGCCACTTATCTCAGCTCACACCACGCCCCTCTCTCACTGCAGCTTCCCTTTGAGCCATATCAGATCTGGGTGGTTTTCCTCCAGCTACTCCACACTGTTTTTATTACTGTGGGTTTTGGAAGTATGTTGGCAATTACTCCAGAGCAATTATTGCCTCACCTGTTGGCCTCATCTCACACACAACTACACACTGAATACCACCTACACAGGTCTAATGAAATCACAATCATAATACAGAGTAATGCACAAATGCTCTACTTGTACTGCATCTGTTTGTTTGTGTCAAAATCCAGTAGGAGAATTAATAAACTTCAATTTCCCACATCTAGTGTGTAGTTTAATTTTATAGATATCACTATTTATTCACATGTTTATGGTCTGATGTTTTTTTTTAATTCATCAGATTTTTTGTGTGCATACTACTGCAATCCTACTAGTAAGTGAAGGAAACAGTAGGCCACATGTTATTGTTGCAGTTGAGATGAGAGAAATGAGTAAACATATTTGAGTGCAAGTGTTGTTTGAATGGCTGTAATTACCCATCACCTTCTCCAAATACCGTGACAGAGTGTATTGACCTGCAGGAATGCTCTGATTAAACAACAGGCTGTCTTATCATCAAGATACTGTGCAGCAATCTGCTGCATGGCCAATGATTACAGCACTGCAACTCAAAAATAAAAGGAGCTTTTTAGTGATAAGTTGAGACCATGTGCACTACATCTTAATGGGTTGCTGGTTCGTGAGAACTAAATGCAGAAGGTTTGTTGAAATGCTTCATTTTATCGTCACTGTGAGTGAGTGACAACATGGTGCAGCATTGTGCCTCTCACACTCGTAATCCCTTCACTTTTCATTTCCTACATCAAAAGATGAATCTCCGATTGAGCATCCACCCAGCCTGCTATCTTTTGACCCAGTAGACTGTTGAATGTTTTCATGAGTGAAACGTTAATTAAAGTAACTGATATCTAAAACTCTTTAGTCATTCGCTTCGCCTTAAGGCTGGGTGTTCAACTGTCACAATACTTCAATGGGCCTGTTTGTTGACATGAAAGTGAATACTATATCTACTACAAAAGCACCCTGATGGTGGTTAAACGAGCAAGTGTTTAATTTTTTTCTTTCACTGGGCTTGCACGATATCAGACCTTAGCATGCAAAGGAAGGTGTGGCACTTGGCAGGGACATTTGATCAGGGGTTTGGAATATGATCAATGCAAATTTAAAGTCAAGATAGCAGTAGTTTAATTTACATATACCTACTTTTACTGTAGTAGTTTACCTACTATTTTACTGTAGTAAAAGTAGGTAAAAAAAAACAGAGATGTTTGTAATATCCACCAAAGTTATATTTCATACCATCAAAACAAAACGTTTGACTTTGAGGATCTAAAACATAATGTATCATAATATATGATACGTAATATTACTTGACTTTACTTACTTGCTGTAGTGTAGGTTTTTCTTAATCAGGAATTTTCTGACATTTTTTGGAATTCTGGGCCTCTAAACAAATACATTTATTTTTTTTAATAAACATGAAACCTTGGTCATTGTAACACAGTATTTTCACGGTACAACATCCTCATATTTGTTGCTATGCAGGCCAGTTGCTAGTGATAAACTTTATTATCATACGGAGAAATGATGGCTGAACACCACCAAAATGAAAAATTCAGAGACACTGGTTAAAGGGTTACTCAGGATGATTTGTTCCTTTGCATTTGGAGACTACTTTCAATACAGATTGAAAAGAGAACAATGGAATTTGAAGCAGCGGAGGCAGAGAGAGTCGAATTGACCCCGTAGAAACGACAAAGCCTCGCACCCCACGCTGTATCCTACGCCATAGCCTGACGTGCATCTCCCCAGAAATTTAACTACATGTCGCCGTGACGCAGACTGCAGCAGACTGTGATTGGCCTGCTTGGTCTGTTTGTGTATTGTCTTGTCTAAGAATGAGAAGCAACTCATGCTAAACCCAGATGAGTTAATAATGCTGTTTGAAGAAGATCCCTCTTCAAACATACTCACACACATTCCCAGACGTCCTCACACACACAGACAAACAGGCACACGTGGGACGCTGCCTCGCTGCATGACATGCTCTTGTCTGTCCCCTCGTATTCTCTCATCCTTTTGTTTCATGGGCAGCAGGGGAAGAAACTAAATGAGGAAAACACAAAACAGATTGAGGAAAGAGACAAGGGAGAGAAAACTCACCACTCACCGCCAACAGACGTTTTGGCAGAGCTATTTGTAGAGCAACGCAGACAGCACACAAATATATAAATGCTCATAACGGCCTAGGTAACTTGCTACCAACAGTGTTGGCTCGACTTAAAACTATGCCTACATAAAACTATGACTGACTGTCTTTTTTTTAACCCTACCACTAGGGGGCAACAAAGTTAGAAATGTTCGAATGCTACACATGGTGGCTTTAATTTTCATGATTTGTTATATTCCTTATATATTCTTGTGGTGTCCCTGAGGGCTCTGTTAATTTATTTCCAGGTCTTTATTTTCTTCAGTTTGCCCCAGCTTGAACAGTGTTATGTTTGTTTGATTTAATGAATTGTTGATACTGCTGTCAAAAGTTATCAGCATTGCAATTATATGAATTGTGCAGGTACCACACACAGCTTTAACTGATCTCAAAACCATGGCTTACAAATCTGCACTGGTGGTCTTTCAAATCCTGAGTCTGAGCCAGGAAAAAGTTTAAAACTCTCTGAGAAACCGAAAGGTAATTTGATCCAACGTCAGCCTTTCTATCTAGTTTTATCCCACCTCATCAGATAAAAGCATGTGAGAAAGACATGCACAGGAGGGTTGATCAAAGTTGATAAAATATTCCGTTTTCAAAGCAGCACAGAGAAGTGAGAAAAAACATCCACTGTCAGTTTTAACATGGCCACAGTACAGTATAGTCATATATCACTGTAATGGGCATAGCAATGTATATTTCTTAAGCATACCCTTTCTCCTATTTATTTTATCATTCAAAAGGCCTCTTGGAAGCATCTCTGAAAAGCTCTTTTACCTTCATGTCAGTTCTGCAAAGTTCTCATTAAAAGAGACAGATTTACAGGTGTAGTTAGGAGTTTTGGCCATCACTAAAGAAAATGTAATTTTATATTTCCGTCTCTCCTTCCATTTTTTCTGTTTTTCCTACATTCCCAGGTCAGAATGCACCATGGAGAATTCCTCCCAGCATGCGCTCTTCCAGAGGTTAAGGTAAAAGGGCATTCTGTGTGTGTGTGTGTCTGTGTGCATATGTGTGTGTCTGTGTGCTGTCAACAGGCTTTCCAAAATTGAAGTCTTGCAGCAGGAAGCCGTGGATGATGCATGGCCTAGTTTCATGGGAAACTGGGTAAAATCCAAAACACGTGGTGTGGAATAAATTCTGACTGTAGTACTACCTGTTTATCACCTTACTGTTCATTAATCTGTTTTTCATTGTGTAATTCCAGTTTGTCCGGCCGTTTTTACAGTAATCTGAACGTTTAAGCCGTAGGATTCTCCGCCAAGTCTATGTAAACACATGCAATTCTCCATTTATCTTTTGTCGGCGCTGGTCAGGGGAATGAGTCAGACACACAGGCTTTTTCTCTGCTGACCAGACAACAACGAAGCCCAGACCTGTTTCATGTGAGCAAACACGCATGCAGACAAAGCCATGCTTGTGGGAGAGGCAGTTAAATCATGAGGGATGTCCCATTCACCCTGACTCCCACATTCAAGAATGCCCAGTTCCTTATTTGAGCACTGGACTGTGAGGACACAAGCTAGATTTACTGAAGACAGTTACATCCCCAACAAGAATGGCAAGAAGTCAAAGGTCAGAAGCGAGAGTTAACCCTAAATTCTGGTCCTGCATTTTTGTGTCAGCGACTACTTTGTGGCATTGGAAACAAAAAGCAGTTACAGATGGTGTAAATCTGGGCCCCAAAACAGTTTTATTTACTCTTAGAAAACACATCCACTGTGGCAGTAACTCTGCAAATAACTGTCTCTTTAACTGAACTCCTTCCTTTGTTAATGTTTTTGGTCTAGTTATAAGAATAACCCAATCCAAAAACTGACAAGTTGTTTTAACAGCTACACTTTTTTACAAGACCTCACACACTCAGAGCCACAGGGCTCTAAAACACCTGTGCTATGCCCTGATAAAACAGGTCTTAAACTTAATGTTTCCATGAAGTGCTATCAGCAGAATATGACTCATTTAAGTGAGAAATAGAAGGCCTACTGCACTTGTGAAATTGTGTTTAAAGAACTAGTGTTAGGATTTAGTGGCACATAGCAGTGAAGTTGAAGTTTGCCACTATAAGTGAGCACCGCTCACGTCTATATGTGACGACCTGGGAATGAGAACGGGCT